GTCACATTTTCTAAAATACTCACGTTAAAGTCATTAGAGCACAAAAAAATGCACTTAGAAAGCTTCCCATAGAAATATTATATAATATTTCATAAGTCCCAATTTTTTTACATGAATTTCATCCTTGGCTTCAGCCCTAACAAAATATAATAAAATATGTGTGTGTTTCTCAGATTTAACCCCTTCATTGCTAGGTTTATTAGCAAAACCCGAAGTTTGAAAACTGTACAAAAAATGAAAAAATCAAATCATTTTTTGTGTGTTATGTCCAGATTACCTTTTTTGTGGGTAAGTTGTCACAGCTTTGGAGTGTCACAAATAGGCATAAAATTATTTTTTGTTCACTTTGTAGTTTTTGTGTAATGTCATATTTTCTAAAATACTCACGTTAAAGTCATTAGAGCACAAAAAAATGCACTTAGAAAGCTTCCCATAGAAATATTATATAATATTTCATAAGTCCCAATTTTTTTACATGAATTTCATCCTTGGCTTCAGCCCTAACAAAATATAATAAAATATGTGTGTGTTTCTCAGATTTAACCCCTTCATTGCCAGGTTTATTAGCAAAACCCAAAGTTTGAAAACTGTACAAAAAATGAAAAAATCAAATCATTTTTTGTGTGTTATGTCCAGATTACCTTTTTTGTGGGTAAGTTGTCACAGCTTTGGAGTGTCACAAATAGGCATAAAATTATTTTTTGTTCACTTTGTAGTTTTTGTGTAATGTCATATTTTCTAAAATACTCACGTTAAAGTCATTAGAGCACAAAAAAATGCACTTAGAAAGCTTCCCATAGAAATATTATATAATATTTCATAAGTCCCAATTTTTTTACATGAATTTCATCCTTGGCTTCAGCCCTAACAAAATATAATAAAATATGTGTGTGTTTCTCAGATTTAACCCCTTCATTGCTAGGTTTATTAGCAAAACCCGAAGTTTGAAAACTGTACAAAAAATGAAAAAAATCAAATCATTTTTTGTGTGTTATGTCCAGATGACCTTTTTTGTGGGTAAGTTGTCACAGCCTTGGAGTGTCACAAATAGGCATAAAAATATTTTTTGCTCACTTTGTAGTTTTTGTGTAATGTCATATTTTCTAAAATACTCACGTTAAAGTCATTAGAGCACAAAAAAATGCACTTACAAAGATGACCAGTTGAACACTTTACTAAAGCACACGAACAAAGAAAAAGTGTGTGTGTGTGTGTGTGTGTGTGTGTGTGTGTGTGTGTGTGTGTGTGTGTGTGTGTGTGTGTGAGAGAGAGAGAGAGAGAGAGAAAGAGAGAGAAACACAGAGGGGAGTGAGCTAACAGCTGCAGGCTGAGCACACAACTGTTGAGTGCTCCTTGCACACAGCCTGTCCACATGCATGGCAAAAGCGTGCATGCACGCTCCTCTTCCCTCTGCAAAGGTGGCATCTTTTCTTTGTCTGCTCCTGGGCTGGACCTGGCTCCACTTGCTGCTGCACCTCCAACAGAGCTGCAGCGCTGCTGGACCGCGGCAAGCGAGTGCGCCTCGCCTGGGCTGGTCTCACCATGGAGGTCCCAAGCTCCTGCAAGAACAGCCTTCGACGGATGCTCCTCTTCTGTTGGTTCCAGGCCGGTTCCACAGACAGCCACAGGACCAGGGCATTGTAGGCGCTCACATCTAACATGTTGCAGAAGAGCGACATGGGCCAACGTCTGGTCTTGCGGCGGCAGCTGTATGTTGCAACGAGCTGGAATAAAAATAAATGAATAAATAAATTACATATGCAATTAGGTTGGTGAATTATAATAAAACAAAATAAAATAAATAAATTACCTTGTCCAAGTTGTCAACTGCCCCTTTGCAGCGGTTGTAATCGATGATTACGGTCGGCTTCTGCTGCGGTCCCTCCTGGATCTGAACCTGATGGTGTTTGGTGCTGAGGAGCAGAACGTTCCGCCGGCGCTTTGGAATGTAGCTCACCGCGGTGGCGGTGGAGGTGAAGCCGAACAGGGAGGACAGAACCGCTCTGCTTTTCATCTGGAGCAGCTGTGGGGGCAACTCTGGCTTGTTGCGCCTAACTGTTCCCACAAGACAGATTTTTTTTTTTTAGCAGCTCCTCTCCAAGAACCAGCGAGGTGAAAAAATTGTCCGTGGTGACAGTGCGGCCGCTCAGACCCTCCGTGAGTTCCAGCACCACCCGCTTCCCTTGCCCCCTTTCTGCCGGGGCGTCTCGAGTCGTCTTGCCCAGATAGGGAATAATCCCCCAGGCATAAGAAGTGGCCACATCGCACACCACCCACAGCTTGATGCCATATTTTGCCGGTTTTGAGGGCATGTACTGCTTGAAGTTGCAGCGACCTCTGAATCCGACGAGCTGTTCATCAACGCAGACATCTTCACCGGGGTTGTAGGCGAGAGGGAGCCGGGCCGCCCAGAGGTCCCACACTTCCCGCAGGGGAGCGAGCTTGTCCTGCTGCACCAACCGGCGGGCTGCCCTGGTCAAGCGGTCATCAAAGCGCAATGTTGCAGTCAGCATGTGGAACCTTCCCAAACTCATCGTGGCTCTGAATATCGGCCTCCCCGTTTCCTCCCCCCAGAGGCTGGCAGATGATTCCCCACGGGAACGGTGCACACTAGCGAGGATGAGCAACCCAAACAATGCCCGGAGTTCCACGCGGTCAACGTCTGTCCAATCGTCATATTTTCTTCTTCCCTCTATATTGGTGTATTTTATTATTACATCTAGGATTGTTGTAGTTAAAAAAATCGAAGCTGTCCTCAATAGTTTGGATGTAGCTGACAGCGAGGCGGGTGATCCCACAATGGCGGACGTCTGGAGCCCGAAAGGGGATCCTGGTGTCGGGTGTCGGGGACCAGGCGATCCCGCTCTTTGATTGCCACAAAGGATGGTCCCATCTCTCCTCTGCAGCAACCACCTCCTCATCTGAACCTTCTTCCATTTCTTCCCCTGAATCAGGCCCTGGGGTAAAGGCCTGATCTTCAGCCTCTTCATCCGAACAAGAGCTGCCATCCGTGGATGAGGATGAGGCTGACTCTCCCTCTTCCTCAAGCTGCTGAAACACCTCCAGGGCTTCATTCACATTGAATCTTCTTCTCATGGTTGCGGTTCAAAGAAATGAATCCTGATCTGAGTCTCGTATATGTACTTTTAGTCAATTGGTGCACCTGTGTAAGCTGCCCCTACTGAATGTAAACAAAATTCGATTCTGCAGGAATTTGTTTTGAAAAACAAATGTATGCCTTTGAAGTTTTTCAGCCTTCATCTTAGCTTTCATCCATGCAAATGCTTTGTACTTATTGAAATAACATTTTGCAAAAGTAAAATTGTGAATGAGTATCTGAAATTTAGCAGAAAATCCTTTGATTTTTGATATATAGCATGCCTTTGATGAATATTCATGAAGTCAACAGAGTGTGAGAACCTGTGCCCCCCCCCCTACACTCCCATGGCCCACACCTGCTCAACCACTCCAGATAATGATCACAGATCTGTCCTTTGAAGATCTGTAAAGTGCTTTGATACCTACATACACGCATGCCTGCACAATCACACACAAAGGAACACATGTCAAAATGCTATTTTGCAGAATAAGCTAATTTTGTACATTCAGTCAGGCTTATTTTTTGAAAGAACACTGAAAAAGCACAATTACCAAAAATTCAGAACACACACATGCAAACTATTGTATGGCATCTCTAAATAACACACAAACCATTTTTTTGCAAAATATGTATTATAATGGGCAGTCAGAGGTAAAGAAATACAGCTAAATCATTCAGTTTAAATGCTGGGTCAGCCATTGCCCTGCTATATATGGAGAAAGTATGCCATGTAGTGAAAAACAGTAAAAACTGCTTCTTACATTTGTGATGAGACTGTAAACACGGGCACAATCATAATTTTTTAAAATTATGCCAATATTTATGCTAATTAAAAATATATGATTTACATGAAAGTCAATGGCACAAAAAAATGCTTCAATGTGCTTAACTGTACAAAATGATCTCCACGTTTTAATAAAGTAGGTTGAATATTTTTTCAAACTTTTTTTTGTAATTCCTTCCAAAATACACATCCTCCATAAAAATTAGATAAATTGCATTAACATAGCCAAAGTTATTCACAAAAATACACGTGTCAGCACAAAAAAATGCTCTAATGTGAGGTAAGGGTTAATACATTTAAAAGCTATTTCTACCCACAGATTTCCTCCATGCATTTTTGAAGTAGAACATGTTTTTATAAAGCTCCTCTCTAGATAAAAATCACAAGCACAAGTTGCTTCACAAACACATAAAAAAAAGATAATAATGGGAGAAAATATTCATAGCTTTAACTGTTTTTATTGTATGTTTAAATAGTAAATATTAATGTGAATGACTTGTACTAGATTAGAATCTAGATAATCTTTTCACTTAATCTACAGGATGGCTTGGCAGGCTAATGTTGGACCTTTGTTTGCAGAAAATCGTGAATTGAACCAAAATCGCACTTTCTACTAGAAAAATTGGAATTCAGTTTTTTCCTAAAATCGTTCAGCCCTACTTCACACACATGATCCAAAGCTTATTTCACCATGTTCAGGACATGCTAGGTGTAGAAAGGATGGAAAAACAACGCTAATAGTGACAGAGGTGGGAAAGTAAAAGAACATTTTTGAATCAGTGCAAATGTACGATTTTATGAAACAAAGCCAGATGGGTGAGATGAAACAAAAACGAGGTTCACCCGACGGTCTACTTCGGCTGTGTCGTTTCTGTGATTTAGGTGTTTTGGCCAAAAATGTACTTTTGGGTCATTTGTGGCTGAAAATCTTTGGTGCACCCTAATATTTTCTTTGGTAGAAACCACCTCAAACACAATCAGTTTTAGAGGATCATAAAAATGTGCCTTGCAAAGCGAAACAGTTCTTGATGCAGTTTCAGCTGAAAAGAGGAATTCTGTATAATAAGTTGTTTTCATTTGCTTTATGACACCAAGATTACTGTCTTCACTGTGCAGGAGATCCAGCAGGAGACGGACATCCCAGAGAGGGAGCTGGTGCGGGCGCTCCAGTCTCTGGCCTGTGGGAAGCCCACTCAGAGAGTTCTCACTAAGGAGCCCAAGTCTAAGGAGATAGAGAACGGCCACGTATTTACAGTCAATGACCAGTTCACCTCCAAACTTCATCGTGTCAAAATCCAGACAGGTGACAAGAATCTTCTCTCAATCTGTTGTTGTCTCACTCAAAAGTAAAACACGTTTGTTTTACCAATTTATGTTGCATATTTTAATTACTGCACGAAATCTTAAGAGACTCAAAGTTTAAGGAATAAAAATGTAATGCTGGCATAAATATTTGACAGTTGTAGGTTAAACAAAAGGCTCAGAGTGACACGTTACGGTCTTAATTAACAAGCTGCTTTTCTTTACAAGGATCAAAAGAATTTTCTTTCATTATCAGGATTTCACACTTTTGTGCCATTTGCCTGATAACTGTTTTCTGTTTTAACAAGTGAGACTCTGGTTGTTTGGTTTTCTGTGTTTAGCTTCGGGCTCAGATTGAACTCATTTCAACTAGACTCACTGAGAGTATTTGTGTAGACCCCCATGGGTAATACAGTCATGATAAGATTTTAGTGTTTGAGGTTGTTTATCAAGGTTTGAATTCTTGTTAATTACGTTTTTTGTTGTTTTTGTTCCATTTCTAGTGGCTGCTAAGCAGGGCGAGTCGGATCCAGAGAGGAAGGAGACGCGACAGAAGGTGGACGACGACAGGAAGCACGAGATTGAAGCTGCTATTGTTCGCATCATGAAATCTAGAAAGAAGATGCAGCACAACGTTCTAGTAGCAGAGGTCAGTCAGAGCTACAGCTCAGGTTTCAATCAGCAAAAGCACCAAACAAGCTACAGGAGTGGCTTAAAACCCTTTGTTTGTGTCTCCACAGGTCACACAGCAGTTGCGAGCACGATTCCTTCCTAGTCCTGTAGTTATCAAGAAGCGCATTGAAGGACTCATTGAGAGAGAATATTTGGCAAGAACACCAGAGGACCGCAAAGTGTACACTTACGTAGCATAGCAGGCGAGCTAGCTGAGCGAGCGCTAACATCTCGCTGGGATAGCTGACAGCCTTGTTTTATTGGACTGCTACATGTTTGAATGAACTATGAAGTGCTTTCATAAAAGAATTCTGGGAAACCCAGTTTCTTCCATTTAAAATGTGTAAAAAGGAAAAAACATGCAAAAGATGGCAGAGTTTTCTAGCAATATTAGATTTCTTCTGCTAAAAGAAATACAAGGAGGGAAGATATAGTTTTGTAATAAAAAACAAAAAAAAATCCTATTTCTTGTGGCCTTTGGAGAGAACTGAAAGCGCCCATTTGCCAATTAATTACACGCCGTCAAGAACTTCTAAAGCAAACATGCTTCTACATGGAGACCAGGGGCACATTTGAACTCACTCCCGTTTTAAATGTCGATGTGTTGTGTTTGTGGCGCAGTGTTGGCTGTACAGGTGGGCGAACGGTCCCGGCCTTTTCCTCTCAGAGGATGATTTGCTTAATTTATGTTGCAATGTCTGTTTCGAGGGTTTTGTACACCTCACTCAGCTGTTTCCAGTCATTTGGCCAGGTCTGTTCTGATGGCCAGAGAGATTAAGGGCTGTTGGATAAACACATGGGTCAATCAGGGGACTTAAAACGCCATAAAGGCTTGGTTCCTCATGGCACATTTGTTATTTTTTTATTATTTCAATTTAAGGCCTGTTGTATGATCAGCCAAAACATAATCATGAATGGAAGGCTTTTCGTGCAGGTTTCAAATAGGGTTTTATTTTCCTTAACTTCCTGTTTGAACAGGTGAGACCAGTTTAGCACCATGCTCTAATATGTACAAACTGTAAAATAATTGTACTCACTGCAAAGGTGGATTGTACAGGGCCTTGTTCTCATCATATTAAATGTAGAGTTACAGAAAACATTATCTTTTCTGGAGTGTCAAATACCAGCAGCGGCCATGATGAACGCTCTACTGTTAGGCTACATCTAAAGTTTCTACTCGGAATAAGTTGAGCATACATCTGAACTGCTTTAATTAGCCTGTGTTGTTTTTATATGACTAATATTAGGATGTTTAAATACAACATGGCCACATGATTCTTTTTGAGAATGTGTTAATGTCCTGTCACTGAACAGTTCATACTGAGAACTTGTCTAAGCAAAAAATCCACCCATTATCATCTGTCTGTCTGGGGTCGGGTCACGGGGGCCATTCCCTCCCCAGCCACTTGGGCCAGCTCCTCTGTGGGAATCCTGAGGCGTTTCCTGGCCCGCCGAGAGACTCCGTCTCTCCAGCGTGTTCTGGGTCTTCGTTTAGGTCTCCTCCCAACTGGACGTGCCCCGAAAACCTCACAAGGGAGGCGTCCAGGAGGCATCCTGACCAGATGCCCGAGTCACCTCAACTGGTTCCTCTCGATGTGGAGGAACAGCGGGTCTACTCCAACCCCCCTCCCTGATGACCGAGCTTCTGACCCTATCTGTAAAGGTGAGCCCAGACGCCCAGTGGAGGAAACTTACTTAGCCGCTTAATTGTGATCTTGTTCTTTGTCACTACCCAAAGCTCGTGACCGTTGGTGAGGTTTGGATCGACCGGTAAATCGAGAGCTTCCTCTTCCAGCTCAGCTCTCTCTTCATCACAAGAAAGAAGGAAAACTGTCTTTTATATAGCTCCTCTCAAGATGAAAATCACAAGGCACTTTACAAAAGCAAATCATTAAAGTATAAAAAAAAGATTAAAAGTTTATAATAAGAAAAAATAGGGCTCCCCAAGGGTATAAACCTCAAACCAGTGTTCCACAACCAGGACGAAAACCACATAGTTCCTCTTGAATCTGAGCTGAGTTCAGCTATCAGATTGGCCCTCCTCTCCAGAATCCCTGAATAGACTTTACCAGGGAGGCTCAGAAGTGATCCCCCTGCAGTTGGATGACACCCGGCAGTCCCCTTTTTTTAAATAGGGGGACCACCACATTGGTCAGCCAATCCAGTGGAATTGCCCCGATATTGTGAAGCCGCGTCAAGCCCCACATCATCCAGGGCCTTAAGCCTTAATCATACTCTCAGACCTCCGTGTTCCGTCTCGACATCTCACCCTCATATTTGTTTAAAAAAACTTTTCAGTCCATCTGTCCCAGCATGCTCTCCGTAATTAATGCTTCTGTGGTTTCTGGTCAGGTCCCCGCTTACTTAAAGAACGCTGTAATCCACCCGCTTCTTAAAAAATCGAGTCGACCCCTCTCTTCATAGCAGCTTCAGACCCATCTCTAAACTTACGTTCATCTTATGGTTCATCTCCAAGATCTTGGAAAAGGTTGTGGCTGAACAACTCACAGCTGCTCTTGATTAACATAACATCTATGATAGCTTCCAGTCAGGTTTTCGTAGAGCTCATTCTACTGAAACAGCTCTTCTTAGGGTCTCTAATGACCTGAATCACAGTGATGCAGGGAACTGTCCTGTTCTGGTCCTGCTGGACCTGACTGCAGCCTTTGACACTGTTGTCCATCACCTGCTGCTGGAGAGGCTGAGAGACTAGGTAGGCCTATCAGGAACCATTCTGGAGTGGTTCTCCTTTTATCTGTCTGAGCGTTCCTTCTCTGTGGCCGTCTCTTTCGGGCCTCCACCACGTCCTTCTCTCATGGTGTCCCACAAGGGCCTCTACTCTTCCTCCTCTATCAACTTCTTCTTCAGCACATCCTGAGCTCTTTTATAGGAGTCTCCTGCCATCTTTATGCAGATGACATCCAACTGTACATCTCTTTTAAGCCCCATGAGATGTCGAAGCTTCTGATCTTTAGGGCCTTACATGGACAAGCACCATCATACACTGGTGATCTTCTCATTCCTTACAACCCCAGCAGGTCCCTTCGGTCCAGTGATCAAAGCCTACTGGTTGTGCAGCACCAGGCTAAAGACCAAAGGTGACAGATCATCTGCTGCTGTGGCCCCCAGACTCTGGAACTCTCTCCCCCTGAGCCTGAGATCAGTGGACTCCGTGGTCTTTAAAACGCAGCTGAAAACTCACTTGTTCAAGCTGGCTTTGGTGTGACCTTCATCACCACCCTCTCCTTATTCTGCTCTTTTTACCGCCTTTCCCCACGATCCACTGATTTCCCTCTTTCCTATTCATTTTCTCTCTTTCCTTACATTATTTTTTAATCACAATCTTTATTTTTTCTAATTTTAAACGTTTTTTAACTTTTTTTATACGTTGTTTTTTTTTTTTTTTTTGTGAACCGCCTCATGATTTTTATCTTGAGTGGCGCTATAAAGATCGTTGTCTTTCTTTCTTTCTCGCAAAATCTCTGCTAAAATTAAAAATGTTCTAAGCTCGGAGGCTTTTCCTTACAATATGTCATCTCAGCTCCCCAACTTACCTTCTTTTCTAAATGCTGTTGAAAGCCGGTGCTTTAACTTTTTTCCAGCAGAGTGCACAAATTTCTCATTTTTTCAAGGCAACAAAACCGTGTTTGGAAGAACTTGGAGGAAGTGGTTCTCGTAAGGAACTATTTTAACTTTATAAATCCAGTTCCTTCTTCCATTCTTCCTCCACAATAATAATATTCCCAAGAGGACAAACAGATTAATGTTTTTTAAGATACCATTAAACTAAAGAGGCAAACCTATTCTCTTCTAAAAGGCTAAAAAGAACGCAGGTGCAGTAACATCTTTATGACTCTGGAGGACACCATTTTCATACAGTTGTTCTACGTTTTGCCAGCAGAGAGCGCAAATTCCCAATATTTTCAAGGCAACAATACAATATTTGTAGTATTTAGAGGAAGTCTTTCTACTATGGGACTCTTTAAACTTTTTGAATTAAATTTCTTGCTGTACTTCTACTGCTCATTCTCCTTCCTCCTAACCCTAATATTTGTCTGTCTGGATCTGAAAGTCCCACAGGAGCCTGGCTTTCTTTCGCTCTACCACCAACTCTGCACAGATGTTCTTGCACATGATGCCAGCAACTTAGTTGTGGCGTTCCATTTATGTTCTACCCTGCCAGGGCCTATTCCTGTGCAGCCATGACACGTGACATGAGTGCCTTTCTTGTGTGTGTGTGTGTGTGTGTGTGTGTGTGTGTGTGTGTGTGTGTGTGTGTGTGTGTGTGTGTGTGTGTGTGTGTGTGTGTGTGTGTGTGTGTGTGTGTGTGTGTGTGTGTGTGTGTGTGTGTGTGTGTTTTCCATGTAAATGTAATACCGATGGGGCAAGCAAAACAGGAAACATAATAGACAACAGTGTTGTCTATTATGAATTGTTGTCACAACACATAGCAGAGATTAATATCAAGTACTCAAAGCGCTGCATTTGGTTTCCAGGATCTAGACACATTCCCTGCTCATTTAAATCTGCCCAGCCGTCTGCCCTGTCTCCTTTGTCTCCTGCCATCTGCTCGGTCATCACAGCCGGGTGTTCTGACTATCCATATCCATGCTACTCGTCGATATGAGCCGCTGTGGGTAAATGCGCATGTGCAGACCGATTACTACGTCACAGGCTGTTTACCTGAAGAGACGCTAACTCTGGAAGTTGTTACATTACTGCTATGTTTACCTGACAGTTAGCTTGTGAAGGGCATGTAAATCGTTATTATACTATTGTAAACAATACATTTCCCCCATTGTTGACCTTCATTCACAGAATTATGACAAACACAGTCATTTTAATAAATAAACCACAACAAACACTGTATATTTTTGCTAATAATTACACTACAGTTCTGTATTTTTGAGTAATATCACCTATTTAAAATAAACTGCTTAATAAGTGTGTTACTGAACTGTAAACAAGGGCAAAACTGTCATAACACGCTGCGGAAGGAATATTCAACCGAGGAAGCGCGGATCGTCAGAACACCGGCTTTGCTTTGCTTTGCTCCACTTCTGCTCCCTTTCGCCCTGTAATTTACGCTCTGTAAGCAAACGCCAGTCTTTTATTTTCCGACCCGAACAAGAAGCACTGAGTTTCTGTTAGACATTGTTATCAGGATGGTGTTTAGCTCCCTGGTGACGTCACTGTCCCAGTAAGATCCCAGTACTTCTTCTTCCCTTCCCCTCTGCCAGTCTGTGGAAACAAATCCAGCAGGATGCTTGACACTCCGGACTGTTACAAAACCTGCTCAAACTCTCTTCCCCGTGCACAGGACCAAATGTGAGTGTGTGTACCGGGACAGAACACCGGACGATGTGGCGGAGAGTGGCGGCTTTGCGGTCAGCCGACAATGAAAACGTGGACTCCGGGGCAGAAACAGCCGAGTGAGTCAACTGTTGCCTCCGAGTTAGCTACAGGCTAACGATAGCTTCTGCTCCTCATCAGCAACAACAATGGAAATGAATTTAGCTCAGATTAAACTCCCAGTGACGGATGTAATAATTGAAGCCAGCTCCGTAACTTGTTACTAAACGTTTTTAGACATTCAAACCTCATTGTTTTGTGTCTTTTCCACGTCTTATCGTGATTTTGTTATTGTAAAATAACATTTTTTTAGTTCGTGGTAGCTAACAACAGATAAAGTGTTGTCATGGTGACCAAAGCAGCGACGGGCAGGTTTCCAAAGCAACCGCCACAAGATGGAGACAGATTTTTGTCTTTTCCTCACGAGTTATTCCTAAAATGTTTTTTATTTCGTGTATTTTTTCCAGATCTGGCTGCAGCAGGATGTCATCGTCTGGTAGTGAGTTTTCTGAGCTCATAAAAAACTAAAGCGTGTCACAGATGGAAGATTTTAACCTGAGAGTAGGGATGGGTAGCAGATTTATGCTCCACTATACCGATACTAATATTATCTCAGTTGTTTCTAAATATACTTAACACATTGTGTCTCATTTAGGTCCAGAAATATTGTGAGTATTTAAACTAAAATATGTTTAAAACATGCTGAAAAGTTTTACAGCTAAGCCTAAACTGACTTCTTACTGGTGCTTAAATTCCTTGAAAATGTTTACTTTTATGAGACATGGGCATGGAGTGATCGTAGGCATATGTGTACTGTGTATCTTTATTTTATATGAATTATGTGTTTGTGTGTAACTTCAGTGGAGCTGGTGACCAGGCAGACAAGGCAGCAACTCCTGTTGATGAACCTGCACCTACTTGCCAACCCTGGAGAATCTCTGCTGCTGCAGCAGACCCTGGACCGCCTGCTGCGCTGGCTGTGCCCAAGCCTGCGCATCTTCCATGTGTCAGAAAGAGCCTCTCCTTTCAGAGCTCCCGTGCACCTCTGTCCTGTGGCAGGTCTGAATCTTCAACATGCTGTAGATGCCACCACTTCTTTTCTATAGGCCTTGCTGAGAATGTTTAGTTTAATTTAATGACTTGTAGTCTGCTGTTGTTCATCATTAGCTCACATCGAACCGTTCTTTAAAATTTCCCAGGATACCCTTCTTTAGCCATCACCTTCTTCCTCCACGAGGCTTACGGAGAGGAGCGAATCCTAAAAGTGCTGGACTTCTTTCAGCGGCCACCCTGGCAGTACCATCACACCGAGAGCTGTGGCAGCCGAGCTGCAGGGATCCACATTACGTCTAGCAGTTCGTCCAACCCCCGTCTGCGGCCCTATCTCCTACCCAGCAGGGACTTCTACAGCCTGGGTGCAGGCATGCCTGTGTGGGGGGTACGGCCTGTGCACTGTGGAGGAGAAATACTGCGTGTGACGCTGTACAGTAACTATGACAACTACGAGGATGCTGTAAGGCTGTATGAGACGGTGCTGCAGCGGCGGGCGGAGGAGCAGAAGACGGGATTCTGCTGGTTCACCGTCCACACAGGTAGAACCCTCGGGTGGACATGGACTTGTTCTTTTCATGGGCAGAAGAGGTTGTTGTTGTTCTGGATGTTTATGCTAGTAGTCACACACAAATAAAAGCTGTCAGGAAAAGGTTCTTGTTGTTTTTGCAATCTTTCATAAGGAAAAGCTCAACTTTTAGTTCCAAAGTGTTTTGGGAAAAAATTGGCAAACATTAAAAGAAGCAGACACTTAATTCAGAAAATTTAGTTCTTATTTGTCACGTTTTCATGATTTCTGAGTAATTGCAGTTTCATTAGTAATTGTTCCACTTTTGCCTGTTTATCTCTTTGCGGTTCTGCACACAGAGCCAGGGCTGTGCCTCCAGCTGGCTCTGAAGCAGCTATCTCCTGGAGTTTGTGTGGAATCGTGCAGCTCCGCTGCTCTGCAGTTCAGCGTGGAAGAAATTGGACAACTAGTGCCACTGCTGCCCAACCCCTGCAGCCCCATCAGCACCACACGCTGGCAGACGGAAGACCTGGACGGTAACAAGGTTCTCTTTCAGGTCAGACCAATTTAAATTGTGTTTTACTGTTTATTTAAGCAATTTTTTTTAGCAGTTTCGATGTGATTTTGTAGTTTGTCACATAATCATAATCCTGTGCTGCAGGTGAAAACCGCGCCTCAACCTCAGCGACCTCTGACCTGTGCGTTTCCCCTGACCTATCTGAGCGTGTCCCCTAGAGGGATGCAGCTCCGGAGCTCTGGACAGGCCTACAGCTCGTCATCCACAACCCCACCGTCCTGGCAACGATACAGACAAGGTACAGTTTCAGAACAATTTGAACTTCCAAATTCAATTTTATTCATGTAAACTTAGACCTTAGGAGACTTTTCTATAGATCCAGGAGAGTTTTATGTGCTCATCTCCTGACCCTGTCGTGATTCTGTTGGGTTGTTTCCAGGAAACCGGCCCCGCAGCGATCCGGTCCTAGAGAAGCTTTCTGGAGCAGAGAGCCTGGGATCAGGGAGCTGCTGCAGCACTCCTCCTGGAAGCTCCTGCTACTCATCTCAGCGCAGCAGCCCTGCTCAACTCTCCACATCCAACCAGCCTGACTCTCCTCTGCATCCCTCCATCACACATTCTCACACCCGTCTCCCTCTGGAAGAAGAGGAGGAGTCAGAGACCAACGTAGACACGGGAGTGGCCGTCCCCCCTCGCTCGGACACTGCCGGTAAAACGACACTTCACTCCTCCTCAGTCGGGGCTTTGTCTGTCAAAGAGCTGGCCAAAGAGCTGATGGAACATTTGCCTCAGACACTTGTGAACTCCCATAAGTCCTCTGGGATGGAGGCCTCTGGTGGTGTTGATGGTGCTGCCTTGGAGAACAGGACGGTTGGAGCTGGACGGAGTCCTTCCAACAGGCTCCTGGCTCAGAACAGGACCGCTGCAGAGCTGTTGTCGGCACGGCCCAAGAACGAGGACCCAGTTGATGAGTTCTTCATCTAAAGTCCTGCCATAAATTCCCACTATTTACACTAATGGCTCTGTTTTAACAAGAGATTATTTCAAAGCGAGTTAAAATTAACAGTAAATGTTGTTTTTGTTAGACCTAATGCAGCTAGTTTGTTTAAATGATGTGAACTTATGGAGTGAATGAAAAGATGCCAAAATATCAGAAATGGCAGCCATGCCTTCTTCACCCTAACGCACTGGGAACACTGGGATGTCCCGTGTGGAATTGACAGGATATTCCATCCCTTATTTAAAAATCCCACAAAGTGATACTTGTTTTGAGATTCATGTAAAGAGAAGGGTGCGATGGAAAAACAGTTTTATCTATGATAAAGTATTTTATGTCTTATTTTACTAATATAAAATAAAACCTTGTAAAGAAAGTGAATTTTATTTGAACTGGTGTAATCTCTGAGAAATTGGCCCTTTTTAAAGCCTCAGAATGTTTTGAAACCTAAAATCCAAAGGGACATTTTTTTCTTAGCATAAGTGTAATTATAGAATAAGAACGACGTAACACAAATTTGACCAAATGTTAAGCCGTTTAGAAATCTAATGGTTGAGTGAAAAATTCATGTTTTTTGCTGTTTTTTCCTAACTTGTCGCTTCAAACTAAGAATTTAGTTTTAAACGACCTGTTTGCTATATTTACATTATAGTGAGATAGACCACACCCTTTTATTGCACTTATTCCTAATATCTGATAAATAATGCACATTATTATTGTTTAAATAATAAGGTCAGGCTTTTCCCTTGAAAAATATACCAATATTTGTTCTCACCACGAAGAAAACGTCAGCTTTTGTGCTTTAAAGGTTGAATATGAAACACGGACTCTGGCGGACTCTGGTGTTCAGAGGTGGTATCGCAACAACAACTAATTTTACAGCTGTCGCAATGCTGTCTCATTGCTGACACCTTCCAGAACAACATGTTCAGAGACAAATCGTACAGGATACGGACTAATTTCCACTAATGCATTTATTTTACAGCAGTGTTTACCGTTAGAACATCTTGTGGGCTCAGAATCAGCTGCTTGACTTGTCAAGTCCACCATTTTACACAGTCGCAGCCTCGCCTTGCTGAGCGGACCTTTAGCGCAACAGTGCCCTCTAGTGGCTGGTAGATGTAAACATAAATCCAGTGTTGCATCTGTCAAAATAAAATTTTGATTTCTTTTTTTATGTAGCTTTTAAAGAAAAAATTGTACTGTCATTATGCACACCTCATAACGCCCCGTGAAGGTATTCTTTTTATAAATATAGCTTTTAATTAAAGTGTTCCATATTCCACCTTTAACTCATCATTAAAAGGTCCAGGACAAACAGGAAGCCGCAGTTAAACCATATGTTGTGTTTGTGTGTGTGTGTTTTCTATTTATTTAGTAAAATTAGACATAACTACGGTTTTAAGGTCAGATCATTGCCTAAACTCCATTCAGAGGACTATAAACACTCAGCGGCGTGTCCAGATCTTTTAAAATGAGGTGGGCCAGGTGAGGCACAACTTTGTGCATGGGTGGCACCAATGGTTATGCTTCTTTTGTTTTACCCCCAAGCCTTTTGTGGACAATGAAAAGCCGATTTAAAGGTAAATTAGTGTGGTGGCACCTGGGGTGGCCAATCAGATTCCGAGGGTGGCATGTGCTACCCAAGGTCACTCCCTGGACACGCCCCTGTAAACACTGTCATTAATGATTCTCAGTAGTATAAATAATAATGGGTTAGCTGTGTAAAGTGAGTAAATCCATGCTGACAAAGTGCAGAACCTCTTGGATCAAAACCACTTATTGCACTTTTAACGTCACAGCGCCCTCTGCTGGTCAGAGGATGTTATTGTTCTCTGGAAAGTTGCTGCAGCCGGTCCAGCTCAGATCCCGGGCCCAATGGCCTTCCCTGGTGACCCTCACTTTCATCGGGTCAAACCTCCAGAACCTCTGGTCTCTGAACAGGTAGAGACGGCCATCTGGACGGGTCAGCGCTCCGTTGGTCCCCTGGGGAATGCCGTTCCAGTCCATCAGTTTCCGAGGATAGTAGGGTTCTTGCTGCAAACTTTTAAGGTTCAGGATGTAATAGCGGGCGCCCTTGAAGAGCACCATGTGACCCAGAGGGGCGTAATAAAAAGCAGAGTCAGGGCGACGAGGCAGGCCCAGCTCACTGGTCTTCATAGGGAAGCCTGAGTCTAGAACGTTCCCTGTGTAGCGCCAAATCCGCTTCCCTGTAAAAGATCAGGACTCCATCAGATTTAACCATGAACAGCTCTACTGATGCATTCAGACTTTTAAATGTGGAAATGATATGCAAAAATGATTCTGCTTCTTTGAAACTGATCAGAAGTTCTCCAAAGATGAGAAGCAGAGCAGCGTCTCATGGAAATGACCCGTCCCACACCTGAGCACAGCAGGTGATTTATGGTGTTTAAACGACGCCTTGGCAGAGCATCAGGACTCATAAACTCATTTGCATGTATCAGATGAGTGAACACTGAATAAACTGTCAGGTTTTTGGCCCCCAGCAGCAAAATTTGGCAATTTCAAACAATTTACCAGTCTGCAGCACAAAGGTGAAGCTAATTAAAAGCTACAGTTGGAGCCTCAGTGCTGCGAGTTCTTCAAGTATTGTTTTGCTTCTTTAAAAGGCCCACAAGGCTCTATTTTCAGCTCTGATGAGACATTTGAAGCTGGCCAGTTAGGTTAGGAGAAAGTCTTTAAAAGGAAGTCTGATTAATAAGCTCAGTGAAATGGCACCTCTGAAAAAATACCACTTGGAGTCCAGCTGGGAGAAAGCAGCTGCCTCGATGGCCTGTGGGAGCTCAGGCCAGCGCTGGCGGAGGAGCAGCGGGCCGCTCAGGCCTCCCTCAGCTGATATCGTCCAGTACACGTTTCCACGGAACACCAGCACAGTCTTCTTCTCATCTGAACACAGACAGCATGTTTAGTATCAGAACAAATGCAGATAGATGCATGTTTTGAGACATATTTACCCATGGTGATGGCATCAAAGACCCCCCTGCAATAAAGGGGCAGCCCTGGGGTCTGGAGCTCCGTGAACTCCCACTCCTGCAGAGCGGCATGCAGAACCTGACCCGGCAACCTCACAGGACGATTACCTAATGGTTTACCTGAAAGATCACAGTAAAAAAAATCCCTCAGACTCCTAAACCTCCCATGAATACTTTTGGAATAGATAGTGTCGTTTCCTAAAGCAATTTAAATGTTTTCTAACTGGGACCAACAGAACAACAATACAGATTAAAACAGGACGGTGGATCTTAAACAACTTGGAGACAATGTTGACATTTAAATCGTCCTTTTCCAGGATGTGGCTGGGCTGATGTATGCTGACGGATGACATTATGGAGCACCGGATATAAACACAGACTTTAGATAGGAGATTAAATCCATCAGAAAAATAAGGTTTTCAGTTTTAGTCCGCTCACAAGCGCTCGTCTGAACTCTAAAGGACAAAAACAAAGCTGAAGGTTAACGACTTTGGTGGTGATTACAGCTGAAGGAGCTTAACAAACATTTGTGTTGGATGAGGATAAAATCAGCACAGCCATGAACTAGAGGAAGGCTGCAGGAACGAACACACACACACACACACAAGTGGATAAGCCAGATAAGAGCTGGAGGTCCGACTCCAGACTGCCTCTACTCCCACGTGTTCAGCACTGATGGAGGGACTTCTCGTGGTTTCTGGGGGAGAAAGCGCAACTATAAACACGAGTTTTACAGAGTAACCTAAAATAAGATGAGCAGTCAGAAGACACCAGGAGCTCTGAAAACCAACAAGTTCAACCTGCTTCTCATCAGCTCACAGAGCAACACAAGTGTTTTCACAGCATCAACAGTCCTGTGTGTGTGTGTGTGTGTGTGTGTGTGTGTGTGTGTGTGTGTGTGTGTGTGTGTGTGTGTGTGTGTGTGTGTGTCTGCAGCTGCAGGAATCGCTGCCCCGGGCTGCAAATCAGGAAGATAGGAGCACAGGAGAACAACCAGCTGTGATCTCATGAACAACAGAATCCTGGGTAAGTTTTCATGAAACAATTAAAAAGCCATCAAAGATTTGTCCTGAATTCCTCTGGCTGGTGAGTTGGTGAATGAAGTTTAATTTTCAGCATTAATAAAAAAAAAAAAGACTTTAACTAAAAGGTCTACCATTCCTTGAAGGAACACCTTTTTATACCAGATCACACATGAAGATGATCGTCATGACCCATAACATCAAAGTTTAGTCTCATATCTGTTAAACTGAGTTTTTTATTCTGAGTTTCATTCAAATCCATCAAGATATGCTGCTAAAACACACACACACACACACACACACACACACACATCCCACTCTTTCAGGCCTGATCCACTTCTGGCTCTATTTTCATTTATTTCAACGCTTCTCCCTTTACTGCAGAGTGAATCATGGAGGATGATAAAAAAAAAAACAGCATTTGAGGAAACTGAGGACAGAATATGTCCAGAGGCAGAGCAGATGGGACTCATCAGTTAAGCTGAAAATGAGACGATTCTGCTGAATCTCAAGCTCAGATCCAAATGATCCTAATGAGTGTGTGACTGTCCTGCAGCCATGGAAACATTCCTGCAGCGTGTTTTCACGGACCCGCTGCAGCACAGGGGTGCAGAGCCGCCGGGAGACGGTTACAGTGAAATCAAGCAGATGGAAAAGAAACAACAATGCATAACGACACGTGTGGAAACCTGCCTCGCACATGCCGTGAGGAGCGGCACACTCCCAGCAAACAGGAGCTGTTATACACAGTCATAATAGAACGCTCTGACACCAGTGATCTACCACAACAGAGCTGCCAGAGGCTGCCAGTGTGAGACACTGGGTCGTAATGACACAAACGAGGCTCTGAGAGGGTTATTGTGACGCTCACAGCACCTCTGCTGCCCTCAAAGCTCAAACTCCTGCTGCTGCAAAGATAAAAACCAGCAAAAAGCACAAAGACGGGATGTTTTGGTTTAGATTAGTGGCTGTTCTCACGTCTGTCAGGAACTTAGAGATGATTACTTTATGAAGTGATCACAGTAAAGCTCTGGTTGCTCTCAAATCCTTCTGCTCAGAGGTCCCCTCACCGTACAGCTGCTGCACTGCCAGGATGTCGTCCCAGCTCAGAACCATGCTGCGGCCCAGTTTCCTGTAGTATGGTGACATCAGAGCATGTCTCACAGGCGAGTGCTCCAGCCCCAGCGTGTGTCCGATCTCGTGCGCCGTCACCATGAACAGGTTGTGACCTTTGTGTCCGTTCAGCGTCCACCTCTCAGCCATGTCAAAGTGGGCTTCTCCTCGGCGGGGCAGGAAGGCGTGAGCCAAGGTTCCTCCTGGACACCAATCAGATCGTTTACATCGGTCTGTTAAGGGTTGTAGACGAGAGGATGCGATAATCCTGACCTGGTCCATCAAAAGCGTTCCCGGTCCCGTCGTTGTGGTCCCCTTCGTAAAACGCCAGCCGGATGTCCGCGGGTCCTTCAGAGGCCTCCTCGAACACCAGGTTGGACACGTTGCTCCACAGCTGGAAGGCGGCCCGCACCGCCAGCCGCACGGAGCCCAGAGACAGGTGGCGAGGCCAGTTCACCACCTGGTAGGTCAGGTGGCGCTTGTACCACTTCTCCGCTGCAGAACAGAGACAAGTGAAGAAGTTTGGTCCCACTCAGAACGCTGGAAAAATCAAAAACATGAACGTGTTCCTCTCAGCAAACCTCCCCAAACGTATAGAAATGTTTACATTTAATTTCTCTAAAACAGACATGAAAGTCGGATTCAAAGTGTTTAAAAGGATCTAACCAACACAAAAATGGTGGAATTTGCTCTATGAAGGGCTTTTAGAGTCTCGGCTGCTCCAAAGTCAAAATAAATCAGATTACATCAAAAAATACATTTTCTGTTGGCAGAAAAATAATTGAATTACTGAAATTTTAAACTTTACAAAAAGTGATCAAACTTTTAACCGAACCTGGATGAATCTATTCTGGTTACACACTAACATTTGTCAACATAATTTAATCAGCAAAAATAATTTTTTATTAAATAATCACAAAGTTTAACTTTAAATAATTCAGTTTCCACCACATTTTGATGACTTTACAAAGCAAATATAAAACATTGATGTTTATTTTATTATTACAAATGAGTTCAACAACAACTGAATTATTTTTTTATTGATTTAAAGAAAAAAAAACACATTTTAAATCTGAGGTTATAATGATTTGCTTTTAGCCAGCTGGAACATTTGCAATAATTTGTATTTATATATATATTGTCTATTTTCCTGAAGCTGGTATTTAACAGATCGGTGTGTTTGCTGAAGGATGCTGATTGTTGTTTCCGGTTCTGATCCGTTGAGCCATCCTCCTTTGATGCACAACCCAACAGGCTGAATCTGGATGAGATGATGCTAACCCCATCAGTTCACGGCTGCGTAAATGTTTAACTGCAACACGCGTCTGTGGTTTATTGCTTAAACGTAATTGCACGTGTCAGGAGCTTCTCACATTTGTTCAGAGGGGTTAACTTCAACCCTTCTTTAATTTACTCGACTCTGATCTGTCCGTTTATGTGTGATTACACAATATGGAGGAGTGGGATCAAAGCGAATGTAAAACCCAACACACAAACAGAGGGATCCTCACCTGGAGACTGTTATTATATTAATTTAACAGGAGGCAGCAGCTGCAGGCTGATTTTAACTGAGGTCAGGGCATGAGGAAGTCAGCACCCAAAGGCCTGCTCTAGACTTATAATACTCTGTTGTCTTCTCTGTAAAAAATAAAATCAACTTTACTCAGGACTAATCTAAATATTTAGGAAAAATACTTTTAAAGGTCTTAAAATTAAAATAGCATGAAATTGTGCATAATAATTTGCAAAGTTTCACTAAAGCAGCTATAATCCTCATTTCTCAGCATAAAATGCTCTTATTTTGAAACTCTGGAATGAGAAGCAGCACCTTTTCCCCTCAGTAACAACTTCTAGGTCTGTGTGTGTGCGTGTGTGTGCGTGCGTGCGTGCGTGTGACAAGAGAATCAACCATGATTTGTAACAATTCTCTTGGCAAAATCTACAAATTCTTCTGTGAAATCAGAATTTCATCGTTTTTGTTGTTTGTTTGTTTTTTTTATCTAGGTTTATAAAATGTTTTGAAACTGGATGAAACAAGTTCGACCTCAAACCTGCAACAGCGGGCCCTAATCTGATAAAGACCAAGGTATTTATTGGTTTGCACATTATTTAGGAGTTGGTATTTCTCTATAGAGTTGCAACATAAATCACACACACATGCAGGTGGGAGGTCTAAACACACGGCTGCTTGGAGTCGCTCTGAATCCATTCGTACTTTTTTAAATGATGCACAACAGCATGCAAGCTACGAATCACCAGGAGACCCAAACAACATTATGGCTCGAGAGCAGTGTGTGTGTGTGTGTGTGTGTGTGTGTGTGTGTGTGTGTGTGTGTGCGTGCGTGCGTGTGTGTGTGTGTGTGTGTGTGTAAACACATAAACCGTGGTTTTGACGTGTGTACACTTGATGGTGGAGCTTTAGGATTCTACAAGTGGAGGCACCTGGGTGAAGGCATCCTAATAGATGATGTCATAGATAGGGTAGGAGATGTTTTTCTGGAACACTTTTTGTCATCTTCTCTCCTCACATACTGATGGCAACCAATACATTTTATGGTTTGTGGAGAAAAAGAAATCACCTCTGAAATTTGCTCTTATGGAAAAACATCGAATCGTTGTGAACGTCCCGTTCTTAATGACTGGACCAAGACCCATCCATCACACTGCTCCTCTGAATTGTTTTATGCTTACGTAGGAGATTTACGTTAGGAATTATGGCAGAAAAGGGACCAACAATGGGTAGAAAATGTAAGTTGACATTATGTTGCATCCGTGAACATCAGATTCTGTGACTTTTGCGGAGAGCCTGCAGGAAAGGGGGCTGGACTTTAGAAATGTGTATACTTACAAAGTTGTTTACCCAATATTTACAGATAAAAAGCACATATTTTGGGAACCAAAATGGGGAAAATGTGCTTTTATAGGTCTACTTACATTCAAACAGATCAACAGTAAATTGGAACTGATCTATTATTAAAAATATATACTAAAAAAACTATAAACCTATTGAATAGATAGATTTTTGTGTAAATTGATACATGAGGAAGCAAAAGATGTTAGTGACTGGAACTGGTCAAAAATTTGCACGAATGGCCAAATCAGTGCAATCAATTGTAGATGACCTGTAATTGTATGAACAGCAACCAGAGACCTAAAACCCCACCGAAATATAATTCTATAATATGTTTGTTTGGTTTTTTTGTTTGTTCTCTAAGTCAAATATTAAAAAGTGTTGCCATTTTAGCTGGTTTGTGAACTCATCATTGCGAGGAATCAGAATAAAAGTTCTTAAGGTAATTAGGGTAATAAGTCCCAGATTCAACCTAAATCGGCCATGAAAGCTAGATTACGTGCATCTCTATTCTCTACATGCAACAATAATTAGTTTGAATCCTTACTTCCACAAACCCATCGTTCATTTGAAAGTTACCTTATAGGAGTATACACTTTTAAAAATACCATAAAACTTTATAATAATTGATACTTTATTAGGATAGAATTATTTTCTTGTGCTTTTTTCCACCCTAACAGAGTGTTTTCCCTCCCAGATGAACTCTGTGCATTAGGCCTAGTATTACCACACAGTTTGTGTAGATCTGCATCCTGAGGAGAGCTCAGACGCCTTCCCTCCATCCCAGACCGCCTAAGAACCACGGGTCCCCGGAGAACAGCGGGGAAGCCAGGAAGTCCAATACACAAGACATTCCAAGACTTCCCTTATGGAAGCAATTAACATGATGCCCTCTATAGCAGCGGCGCAAAGGGGCCTGAGATCATCTGATAGCCAGAGTTATTGTTTGTGAGGGTGCAGAGAGATTGTGTTTGTTACTGGTGTTAGGACGTGGTTCTACACACAACGTTTCTCTGAATAAAAGGCGGACTAGTTCAAAAATATTGACTTTTATCGACTTCAGGTCATAATATGAGATGTGTTTTGTCTGGCCAACATTAAATAAAGATATATATGAACAAAGATACAGAAATGGTTGTTTTTCCTCTTCTGCTGGTGGATTTATATGGAAAATTCCTCCAGTCATTGTGGAAAACATGTTAAATAACGTTAATAATAAGTGATATGACTGATTATATGTAGTTTCCAGTGCAGGGTACAAGTTAATAAACACACACCTCTTCATAAAACACACACTCAAAACACTCCTCGTGGCGAGCAAGGTGGAATGTTGGATCCGTAAACATTAATGAGAAAAACACCGGTTTCCACATGTAGATGCTTGCTTTGGGGTTCCCGGAAGTTCAGGATCAGCAGCTAAACATGATCCCGAACACTAACTGTGTCTGACTTTTCCCTGTGTCATGGAAGCTGCTGGCTTCATTCAGAACCAGCGGTCAGCGATCGGATGGGTTGATTCAACTACAGGTAAACAATCGGTTTAAAGGTGGTGGAGTCATACCTGAAATACCAAAAGCTTGAAGTCAGAGTCCCAGAACAAACAATCCCAGTTCGAAAACATGTTTCAGTCCTTGTTGCTGCTAAGTGCTGGTTTGAGAAAATATCTGACATCAAATGTGGGAGGAAATGGTTGCACCCTGAGGAAACATGCAGGGAGAAGGTGGAACGCCGCAGGAAGACACCAAACAGCAAGCCTCAACCCAGAACCCAGAATCATGGTAGTCTTGTAATCAGATTACACACCAAATGATCACAAGGCGCATCAATAATAAATGCTGATGAACGTTTTCTCCAGAAAGAAAAAGGTCAAATCCGAGTTTAAATTCAAACATCAGTTTTCTAAATCCAGATGTTTAACTGTGAGCGGACAGTTTCATATTCCAAGACAGAACTGAAGTCGTGGAGCTAGCTAATGTGCTACCAACTTTTCATTACTCGCCCCGCTCCCCCTAAAGCCCCATGCAATGTGGACTGAGTAGCGTTCAGTAGCGTTAGACATCCACTTAAGTCCAGAAGCCAATCAGAGCGTGTGATGCAGGCACAGAGGTTAGCGATGTTTCTCACGGACGATTCAGTCATACTAATATGAGTAAACAACATAATACAAGAACAACTAGAAAAATTGCATTTATTGCACAAATGCTGTTTGAATGCTGGATAGCTGAAACTGTAAGCTGAAGCTGCTGAACAGCTGAACTGAAGCTGCTAAACAGCTTAACTGAAGCTGAAACAAAGCAAAACTGTCCAAATGAGCTGAATGTCTTGAAAGATGTAGAAGCAAAAAGCACCAACAAGCAAATAAAGCACAAAAAGTAAGTGAAGAATAGAGAAAAATAATGCTAAATAGCAAAAAAAAAAAAAAAAAAAAAAAAAAAACTTTAATCTGTGAACATTGTATAAAAATCTGGACAGCTTAAATGTCTAAACACCTGTTATATCAGTTGGACAAGTTTAACAGTTTAATCTTTACATTTAGCTGAACTGTGAAATTAGCAGTATATGCTAAATTTGCTAACTGATTGCTGAAGTTGTTGAATAGCTGAAGTAAGCTGAAACTAAGCTAAACTGTTAAATGAGCTGAATG